TTCACTACCGTGTTTCCCTGAAAATAAGATCTCCCCAGATAATAAGCCCAATCGGGCTCTTGAGCGCATGTGCTAAAATAAGCCCTCCCTGAAAATATTGCAACACAGCAGCAGCCATGAGGTGACCACGCTCGCTGCCTCCTGCACCTCAAAAATAATAAGACCTCACCGAAAATAAGGCCAAGTGCTTATTTCAGAGGTAAAAAGAAAATAAGACCCTGTCTTATTTTCAGGGAAACACGGTAGTGAAACTGACTTCCACCTGCTAGTATCTTTTTTTTTTGCCCAAGGATTCTACACCGCGCAATGCATTCTAAAAAAAATAACGAGAGGAATGCTAGGCCTGTTCTCACTATGCAACATATCCACCAAGAAGAGGAGAAAAATCACATAAAAAGGAAACTAGCTAGATACAGCAGTGCGGCTTTTCACCAGGATGGAGTTGAGGATAACAGCCAGCAGAGGAAGGGCTGGAGAAAAACAAGTCAAAACACGTGAAAGATGTGAAAATTGTCTTAAACCCAAGCAGAAAAGAGAAGGCACACCAAGTACTTGTTACCAGCAGAGCTTCCTACTATAATTAAGTTTTAATGGCACCTAGAGTATTTTTTATAATGATCGGATTCTAAATATGCTTTGAATCTCTTGAAGAAAACAGAGCCTTGATTCTAATCATCTTGATTTTTCTCTCTTTTTTTCTTGTGACCTTGGGATTATTTATTGAAAATTGGATCTTTCCTTTCAGCTGTCCCCTGGGAGTCATTTCAAAGGCTGCTCCTGTATGGTTTTTGAGAGATTTTCTTTCAATGAGCCAATTATTCAGGTGGCTTTTATTTTCTATGTTGTTTTCAGATGGAAAATGAAATGGGTACCACTAACAAATGGCCTTTGGTGGATGCTGATTATTTTCCCTGAGGCGTCTTGTTGGGTTTCTATTAGAACAGAGCTATAAATTAGGCTAGATAAATGACATAAGATTGTAGAGTGCATCTTTTTGTTGCAATAAAACCACATGATAACAAGCCGATTTATCCGCTCCATTGTAATAATGCATTTTAGCTCCGTCATCTCCCAAACAGTGCTAGTAATCACTTCTTTCCTTTTGATTTGCTATTTTTGTTCTGGAGTACTGCTAGTTTCTAGTTTGCACTAAGCGCTTTCTTGCTTCTAGTATTTTATCCTCAGCATATTTGCTTTGCAGCATATGATTCTTTATCTATATTCCTGTCTAAAGTGTACTTCTGTTGACTTACAGCAAGTAACTAGGTTGTACCTGGAGATTCATTGGCAATAGGCAAACTCTACAAAGGTAGCCATTTCTTTCCTTAATTGATGAATATGTTTTGCAAGTATAAACTTTCATTTGCTCTGCAATCTCTTTGTGGAAGCTTTGTATAACTGAAGTGGCACGATGGCAGAAGATTGCAGGCACCAGTTATTTACTTTTTGTTGTGAACGTAAGTAATTTCGGAAATACGTCACATAACAGAAATTAATAATTTTTCTCCTAGTACACCCTGGCTATTTACAACTTTAAGTGATCAATAAAAATCACTTCTAATTCAGCTGAGCCATTTCAGTTTAAGGCAAATGTGGTTTTCACAACCTAACTGCCTACCTACCTGTTTTCACCTGCAGCACCCAGAATATTGCCTTGCAATATTCCCATTATCTATCTGTTGCTTAAACAGCCATATTTTTAAATTGTTCCCCTATCTCTCCTGGAGCTTAGGGTTGTCATCTGCAATAGCTTTGTTTCCCTGTGTTTGGAGACAAACAGTACATAACAAAAGCATCTGTGACGGAAGTCATTATTATTTCTTCCTGTTTTCTGCCACAAAACCTGAGATCCAAGCGACTTGTTTAATTTTTCCGGAAGGTCTATGCAGGAGGTGTGAAAACATATACGGTATACAGTCAAGTCTGAAACACGGCAAATAAAGTTTTGTATTCTGTGTGTGTCATAACTTCCTATTGATATATTAAGTAGAAAATTTCTTTATCTAGGCTTGTCATTAAAACACGACCCCAAACAATTGGCAAACCCAACAAAGATGATAAAAATGAACAATAGTGACCAGACCTTGGTTACTGAGGTCTTTCATTCTTCTCTACAGTTAGCATTTTTCTCTTTTGACTTTAATTAATATACAGAAAGGAAAGAAAAAGAAAACAATAATTAGCATAGTGAAAGGAGGAAAAAACTAATGCAATTACCACAAGATAAATTGTGTATATAAGGGTTTTTTTGTGCATAAAGAATCATTTGACCTTTTATTACCACTCTTAAGACTGCAAATTTGCTTTCTTGAGATAATGGGAATCCTTCTGTGTAATCCAGATCACCATAAGATGGCAGCAAAGAGTTGGGGTGATGCCTTTACAGTCCCTCTGGAATTTTGTGTTCCAGACACAATTGCTTTAATCTAAAGAACAAATACACAGATATCACACAGTCAGTCTCTCTGTCTCTGTCTCTCAAATTGAGCAATGAAACAAAAAAAATCAACATAATAGTTTGTGTGCACTTCATGCAGTCATCAATATTTCTATACAATCTTATTTCTTTGATCACAGAACGCAGCATGAGTCACTCTCAAAATTGCTCTACATTTTTCATGTGGTCATCATGATTCTCAGATATGTACAAAGCAGGGGTGAGTTCCTGCCAGTTCTAACCTCTTCTATAGAAGAGGTTCCACAAATCTACAGTGCCGTTTAGAACTGGTTCCAGCTTCCTCCCCCCGGCTGTCTACACATCATCAACATGAAGAGCAAGAGGAGGAATTCTGGGAGTTGAAGTCCACAAGTCTTAAAGTCGTCAAGTTTGAACACCCCTGGGTTTTTTTTTCCTAAAGGGCTAGGGGTGCAAGGATCTTGTAACTTGACAGCTTNGGCCGCTTTAAGACTTGTGGACTTCAACTCCCAGAATTCCCCAGCTGGGGAATTCTGGGAGTTGAAGTCCACAAGTCTTAAAGCGGCCAAGTTTGGAGGCCCCTGCCTTAGTACCTTCCCATTGCTTACATAAGAAAAGTCCTGATTCTGCTGCCTGGGTAGCAATTTAGGCAAGGAATCTGACTTTCCCTCTTTGGGATGCTACTTTCCCGAGCTGTCTCATTGACAGCAGGGACTCTGGTTCCAGAAAGAAGGGGGGGGGGGAGAACTGGTGGCAGCCTACCTTGGCCGCAGATGCTTGCCTGGGGTTAATTTAGCCATAATTTACTTGGTGCAATTTGAGGGCTTCTTGTGATGCAGCTATAAATTCATTGCACATTTGCCAGTTGGATTTTAATTCTAGGCCAGTATTTCTCAACCTTGGCAATTTTAAGATGTGTGGACTTTAACTCCCCCAATTTTCCAGACGGTAATGCTGACTGGAGAGTTTTGGGAGGTGAAGTCCACACATCTTAAAATTGCCCAGGTTGAGAAACATTCTAAGATAAAATACGGTTGACTAGATTGCAAATGATATTAACACAGCCACAGCTTACCTTATGATACGTTAAATAGCTTGGGAACATCTAGCTTTTATGTTTCTGTCTCTCTATCCCTGTCACAGGGGACCTTGAGAATTGGGAATAAAATCATTCATCTGTTTGAAACCCTTAAGATGCAAGCTGTGTGCACGATAGTATCATCTCATCTCCTCCACTAATATAAATAGTAATTGTCTCAGGTTACTTTCAAATGAATAGAATAGAATAGAATAGAACGGAATGGAATAACAGAGTTGGAAGGGACCTTGGAGGTCTTCTATCCCAACCCCCTGCTTATCCAGGGAACCCGATACCATTTCAGACAATTGGTTATTCAATTTCTTCTTTAAAACTTCCAGTGTTGGAGCATTCACAACTTCTGGAGGCAAGTTGTTCCACTGNGAGGAGGCCTAATCTGTGGGATCTAATCGGTCTAATGGAGGTAATTGGCAGCAGGCGGTCTCTCAAGTACCCAGGTCATTTGGTTTGAATGGTGACTGTTTGAAGTTACTATGGGCACTGAAAAAAGTGACTTACGACCAGTTTTCACACTTATGACTGTTGCAGCATTCCCATGATCACGTGATCAGAATTTAGGCTGGGCAACTGGCATGTATTTATGACAGTTGCGCTGTTTCAGGCTCATGGGATCACCATTTCTAAACCACCAACCTGGATTCTGAAAAGTAAAGTCAATGTGGGAAGCCAGATTCACTTAATGGCCACACAATTCACTTAACAACTGCAGCAATTCACTTAATAACGGTGGCAAAAAAAGGTCAGAATATGGGGCAAACTCACTTAAGAACTGCCTTGCTTGACAATGGAAATTTTTGGTTGTGGTTGTAAGTCAAGGATGACCTTGTATTGTTTTGCCTCTACTCTTTCCAAGCCCTTCAACAGTGTTGGGAGCATGGATGGCATGTATATATATATACATATTGAAAAGGCCACTGTCTTCTGTATGAATTGCTCCTATTTCCAGGGAGTACGGAATGGCCTCTGTGTTTCCTCTCAGAGATTTAAAAAATCTACCTTCACTGCTATAAACGTGTCTGATGCCAGTGGAGAATAGTTTTCTACCAGGAAACTATCCTTCTGTTCCAAAGACGAGGGGAAGCTTATTTCTGTTGCTGTGTAAAGTGCTCACCATCCCAGGTTTTGGATCACAAGTTTTTGTTTTGTTTTTACAAATATCCTAGAATTTGACTCAGCCTTCCATCCTTCCGAGGTATGTAAAATGAGGACCCAAATTGTTGAGGGGCAATATGCTGACTCTGTAAACCGCTTAGAGAGGGCTGTAAAGCACCGTAAAGTGATGTATAAGTCCAAGTGCAATTGCTATTGCTATCTCACGTGGCTAAGTCAATTCTTATCATTTGCTAAAAGACAATAGGCAAATATCTATGCAAACGCTTGGTGTCTACATACATATGAAGGTGGGGAAGAGGTATAAGAATATGTAAATGTAATGTAATGTATCTTATGTTAATTTTATCATGGACAAAACATCCTTTTATAAAACAGAATAATTTTGTCTATTTTCTTTTCAGCTGAAAAATACCACATGCAAACGAATAACAAAATATTTTGGCTTTCACTCTGCAATTTTGTGTTTTCAGGAATTTTGGAGGACAGCAAATCAACCCAGACCTGCATGGCAAAATCTTCAATTTCAGGTGCCATGGCTATTCCTGAAAAAAGAGCTCATTGTGCTACACAGTGTACAAAACTGTCAACTCACACCACTGGAAATGGAGCCCAGAAGCCACAAAATAGCTTTAAAACCTCAGAGGTGAGTGTAGGATTACATTCTGTTTATGTGGCAAAATATTAATTTGTGCAAAAACCTAAACCCAATTCAAAGGCTTCCTGACCACCCTCACTGTTATTCCACTACTGTGTTTAAAAATCCTTGTGAATTCTAAAGGTAAAACAATTTTGCCATTAGGTACTTTGTGATGTGGTTTCATGTTGCTATAGCAACTGGATTGAGGGAGTAGAGAAGACAAGTTTTGAATAGCACAGATGGCAAAACACAAGATCCAGGAACAGGATCCCAAACCTTTTAAGAGCAGGAAGTCAAGGATGAGAAGAGATTGATGGCTGGCTTGAGGCCAGGAGTCGGGAGGCAGAGTGAAGAAAAAATTTCTGCCAGTGGTACCAAAAATTGGCACCAATACATACAGCAAAGTCTTAGAGCTATAGTCATTTACAAAATTTATAGTCATTTATTGCAGCTGCCAATCAACTGGTGTAGAGAAAAAATAGATTTAGCTCCCTGAAACAGGCGATAGTGTAACACCAAGAGTCAATTCTCAGGTGCTACAGAACAATCCTGCAGAAGGGCTTTTATTCAAATGCAAGTAAGCTCTACAGTATTTCTGCAGTTATAAGGAAAAAAAGTATTCAGCTAGGCATTCCCCATCCTCTCTATTGGCACAATTATCCTTTATGTTCAGATCTTCTCAGGTTGAAGGAGGCAAAGCAGGGGTGAAATTCAGCAGGTTCTGACAGGTTCTGGAGAACTGGTAGCAGAAATTTTGAGTAGTCCAGAGAACCGGCAAATACCACGTCTGGCTGGCCCCAAAGTGGGGTGGGAATGGAGATTTTGCAATATCCTTTCCCCAGGAGTGGGAGAGAATGAGGATTTTGCAGTATCCTTCCCCTGGAGTAGAGTGGGAATGGAGATTTTGCAATATCCTTCCCCCAGGAGTGGGAAGAGAATGGGGATTTTGCAGTATCCTTCCCCTGCCATGCCCACCAAGCCACATCCACCAAGCCACATCCACAGAACTGGTAGTAAAAAAAATGAATTTCACCACTGAGGCAAAAGGTTAATTTCCCCCATGATTATAGCCAGATTCAGTTAGAATTAATTTGTATAAAACCTCTGTTGTTTTCTTCAGAAAACACAAAGCCTTGTCACACATAGTTTTCAGGCAGATCGAGAATATAGTGTGATGAAATGCTGAGCCATTCCATTTTCTTATGCAGTGTATCTTTGACATTATTGAAGAAAGGGGTGGGGAGAATGTTATTTATTCTCCCCATAAACTATTTCCATTTATAAGTATTGATTCCTCTTTTACCATCTTGTACAGTTATTTATTGAGAGCAATCAAGATGTTAAGAAGGCTGGAAAGAAAATGATAGGAGGAATGCTTGAAGCCATTGAATGTGTTTAGTCTGCAGAAAAAAGGCTGTGAAAAGACATGATAATTGCCTTCTACTATATTCTTACTATACTACTCTCTGAGGGATTATCGTGTCCCTCTGAGGAATTCTTCAGAGCTGTTTGAGAAGACAAAGCAAGAAATAATAGGTTATTTACATAATAATACGTAAGTAGATCTCAGTTAGACATCAAGGAATATGTTCTAATAGTAACAGTTCCATGAATAAGATGTCTTGAGATCTAATTTCAACTGCTTTGAAGCCAATTGGCTTGTGAGGAAGTGACTTTAAAGATAATTTTAAAAGCCCAATTAGTCATCTCTGAAGTATGATGTATAGGTAGTCCTCAACTTACAACAATTCACTTAGTGATGATTCGAAGTTACAACGGCACTGAAAAAAGTGACTTACAACAATTTTTCACATTTATGAGCATTGCAGCATCTCTATCATCACATGAGCGAAATTCAGATGCTTAGCGACTGACTCATAGTTATGATGGTTGCAAGTGTCCTGGGGTTATGTGATCATCTTCAGCGACCTTCTGACAACCAAAGTCAACGAGAAAGCCAGATTCAATTAACAACTGTGTTACATTACTAAATGTAATAACTGCAGTGTGGTAATACTGCAGTAATAACTTAGCAACTGTGGCAAGAAAGGTCGCAAAATGGGGCAAAATTCATTTAACAAATGTCTCACTTAGCAACAAAAATTTTGGGCTCAATTGTGGTTGTAAGTTGAGGACTACCTGTAGCAGTGCTGCACTGGTCTAGACGAGATGATATTCGAGGTCCCTGGTAACTCTTTACATTCTGTGATTGTTTTCTGAACTAAAAAGCTCCATATCTTTCATAGCTTTTATTCTCCCATGCCCACTCAGAAAATTGTCAGTTTGTTTTATTTTTGCAAATTTTGAATTGAAATAATTATATTAATAGGTTATGATACCTAATTTAGACTAGAACCTAGGGATCATTCAAGTTCCAATGCTGTTAGGAATACTATTTAATCAGTCACTTTTTAAAAACTGTTCTCCAATCCTATTTCTCTGTTTAAGAATTACCCATATTTTTCGGACTATAAGACTCACCGGAGTATAAGACGCACCATGATTTTGAACAGGCAAATTTAAAAAAAGTTTTTGTACTCTGCACGCCTCATTTTTTGCAAAAAAAAAAAAAAGGCACGAAGAGCTTTGGGAGGCTTGTAGAGTGCTCCTGGGGGCTGGGAGGAGGACAAAAAACAAGAAAAAATGGCCTGTTTTTTGCAAAAAAAGGGGGGCATGCAGAGCTTTGGGAGGCTTCTAGAGTGCTCCTGGGGGCTGGGGCAAAAACTAGCAAAAACATCCCATTTTTTGTTCATTTTTGCCCTCCCCAGCCCCCAGGAGCACTTTGCAAGCCTCCCAAATCCTCTGCATGTTCCTTTTTGCAAAGGGGGCAGAGTTTCGATAGGGCAAAAATGATGTATTCAGTGTATAAGACACAGTCAGATTTTCACCCTCTTTTTTGGGTGGAAAAGGTGCATCTTATACTCCAAAAATATGGTACATCTACAGAATATATTCTAAGCATAAATTATATTTTATAAACTCCTTTTCCAACAGGCTAAATGGGACAAGAAAAGAGCCACAAAAGAAGTTAGTAGTAACACTGCCAAAACAGACAAATACAAACAAATAAATAGCAACAGAAGAGTCGCAAAGAATGGTATCAATTAAAGAAGCACTGAAAATCGGTGAATGAATTCTGTAATATCTTGCTGCACTTTACCTGACTGCATAATGCAGGGATCTGGAATTTCAACGTTGACATTATGCTGAATGTGGCAGACAATTCATGCTGAGTGCCTTTGGAAAAATGGTCGACTTCATTAGCTCTGCAGTTCTGTCAGCACTGGAAGCTTGAATACTTTTTCTTTCCTGTACTTGATGAGCTTGGCCATCAATTAGGAAGTAACTGGTCTGATTTTTACTTTGCCACTAGCTAAGTAACTAACTCATGGTAACTTAAGTTAATTTCCTAGGAAGAAAAATGTAAATCAAATGATCCAGGGGCGCTAGAAAAACTTCTCAGAAATTAGGGCTACGTGCAACATAATTTTTTAGGGGCATGAAAGCTGTTCATTCATACAATCAGGTATTGATTGATTGATTCATTCATTGTGTGCCATCAAGGTAGTGTAGACTCTTTTCCCAGGATGATCCTGGCCTGGCTCTTCAGCACTTCTGATGGTGCACAGTTATCATCTAGATTAATTCCAGTTTAATATTAAATGTATATCATCTGAAACCAAAAGGTGATCACAGCAATCGCTGTGTGCAAAATAGCACCCTGAGTGATCCTGTCATTAATGTGCTGAGGTACCACAAGAGAGTGCTACAGTACTATTACAGATAACTTGCTGCTACCTAAAACAGATGGCTCAAACTTGTGTCACTGTAAATAACTGTGTGACAGGTGTAAAACAATGCAGTAACCTGTTTGGCCATATAGGAAGTTTGCACTGGGTTGTTGTGCTATAATAGTTAATGGTACTTGCTCATTTTGGGGGAAGGTCAATTCCCTCTGCCAATGTGCCACAATGTGGTGTGTGGGCCACACAATGTGCCACACAGGACAGGCCTAATTCAACTGTCAGTCTCATAGGCAGCTGTCTAAAACCAAAAGTGATTCTTTCTCAAGAATAATTCTCACAAAGTTCCCTAGTATGAAAAAGAAGAATTGCAACAAACTATAAATTATATTCAAAGTTGAAATAACCTGTGTCCCCCAACATTTTCTGATTTTCTAACCATTTTTCTATGGTTCCGAAAGGAGGTGGTCTCTGCATTGATAATGTGGAAAATTTCATCAAAGGGGTGAAATCAACTTATCTTTGCTACTAGTTGGTAGCAATGTGAGCGTGCATGCGCATGGGTGGGCGGAGCTTATCACCGAGCGCACCTGCAAAAGTAAGTGAACAGTGAGGGGGGGAATGCGCTGTGCCACATGATTTAGATTAGCTAGAAAGTAGGAAATCCTGCTTTCTAGCTGATATAAATCGCGTGTCACAGCTGATTGTTGGAAATACCAGTTCGCCTGAACCGGCAGCATTTTTACTACCGGTTCAGGTGAACCAGTCCAAACCAATAGCATTTCACCCCTGATCTAAGCTCAGCTTTGATACTATTTTGATAACATAAAGCCTGACTGAAGGTCTTGAGTTTCACATTGGCCTCTCCATTTATTCCTGCTGAAAATCATGCTGCTATAAAATAGTAAAATTATGCCAAATGCATTGTTTATTTATTGTTTTTGTAAGGCTACACAATTCAAAAAGAACGTTGAGTGCCATATAGTAGTGGCATTGTTTTGTGTGCTGCTTGCATCCCGTGGATGGGGCTTCGTTTGTTTGCGCAGCTTGGTTTCTGGCATGCCAGTTCTGGTGCCAGTCTGCAGCCTGGGAATTGGGGACCCCTGCCATATAGGATTTAAAATAAATTTTAAAAAATGACTAAATATGACAATATAAAAAGATAGTTTTGATTTCACTTGAAGGGCAACTGATGTAAAGTTCAAAATGCTTAATAGTGATAGAACAGCATTTCTCAACCTTGGCAACTTGAAGATGTCCAGACTTCAAGCATTCGCTGACTGGGGAATTCTGGGACTTGAAGTCCAGACATCTTCAAGTTGCCAAGATTGGGAAACACTGTGATAAAAGATATTTTTGATGGTCACAGCAGGAAAAAGTAAGTTTTAGGATGAAATTACATGTGACCATGTGAGGGAAGTGCATATTTTTTCATGAATTTCCATATTTCACATTTGCATAATATACACTTCCCCAAGTGTTTAAACACTCATCTTGTGGTAAAAATCCTTTTTAACGTACTGTACACTTAATAAGAGCTTCAAATAGAGGGGAGGGGTGGGGAAATGATCTCTTGATTGTGTCTTTTCAAGAGAGAAAAAATTGTATATACTATATATTCGAGTATCTAATTTCAATGGAGAAGCAGAGCTGTTTTAAAGCAGGGGTAAATTTTCCAAGTGGATGTCTAATCTATAATTTAATAAAATATAAATCAGTAAACAAATTTAAGTGACCAGATTACTGAAGAGAATCAAAGTTCAACAATTATCAATGTATTGAATGAGAACCTTAATTAGCACCGAAGAGAGACCTTTTGGAAATGTAACTAGAAAAATGTGTACTATTAAAAGAAATTGCTTGATACAGAAATCCAGTGTTTGAGCTCTATATTCAGTTTTTAGTCTTAATTATAGCACTGCAGGATTGCATAAGTGAAAATAACCTTTGAATCATTCTTGGCATTACTTAAGTATGTACACCCAGGCTTTAATTCAAATGGTGTGTGTATGTGTGTGTAATATACCTAATTAGAAAGGAGTCATGATGCTTCAATAGAGCTTGCACTCAGCACGCATTAATTATTTTCATTTTCCTAGGAATAAGTCTCAGTTGCTTCTGAGTGTTTGGTTTTCTATAGATCACCCCCTATCTGCTAACCTAGACTGTAATCTGTTCACAGGTAAGCCTCTTAGGTCTCATTAAATTTAGCAACCTATTTATCAGACATTGAATTCCAGAACAAATGACGTACTACCCTCTGCGGAGGCCTCCAAAATTAACTGAACATAAGAGAGAGATTGCAATTGTGCACTCCATAACCGCAATATTAACCTACTCAATACTCTTATGTCTGCCCTTTCCATTGGGGCATTTAAATGCTTGCGTGCCTATTGCTGGATATATGCATACAGATTCTCTGTTGGTCAAAAATCTTGCATAATTAAGGTTTATGCACACATGGGAAATTCATACATAAAGCCTATGCTATAAATCTGAAATGAAGCTGCTTCTGAATGTCTAGACCGATACATTGATCCCCCCCTTTCCCTCACATCACCCAAATTTAAATCCTACATACGTCTTGTCCTGTAGACTTAAAAGATGCTGACTTCAGTTCACAGAATTACTCAGCATGATGGCTGCGAAATTCTGGGAGTTGAAGTTCAAACATCTTCAAGTTACCACGGTTGAGAGATGCTTGGCTAGCAATTCTATACATTTTATGAACTGATCTGCAATCCCCAAAACCTACGCCTTTTAAGTAAAATTTGTTAGTCAGCAAAGGTGCTACCAGATTCCTGATTTTACATAGCTCTATAAGGGTGGTGTCATCATCTGGTGAAGAAATGATCAAATTATTGTTTTATTTAATATTAAGAGTTACATCACTTTGATTCAGCCTTCTGGATATACTGGAATACAAACTTCCATCATCTGTGCTAGCATTATTTCTTAGCCATACTAGCTGGGAACAGTGAGGTGTGTATTTTAATATATTTGAAGGACATTTGGTTGGGAAAGAATGCTAAGACAGTAAAATTGGCATGTTATGTGAGTCACAAAATATTTTTTAAAATGAGCAATTTTAATACCTGTTAAGTGATCATAACAGTCTTTAAGTAGCCTCCAGGAAGACTGTGAACTGCTACAGTCATTTTAAACCAATCATTTGAGTTCCCTGGCCTACACTCTTTTTTTAAACAAATTCTTGATTGCAAATAACATTCTTTTCGTATCAGCATTTAAGTGGCCAGTGTTAAGTATATACCTGTAAGATTGTCGAGGATCTGTGAAAAATTTCAGAATTTGAAAGTTAAATACAATCAACTCTTCAAAAGTACTCTCAGTTCTAGAAAGAACTTGGCATGCAATCAGCGAATGGGATCACACTTAAGGCTAAGTCTGAGTTTATTAATTAAATCACAAAAGGCTAGGTTTATAAATATAATTTCTGAGTGCATATCAACAGAAGTTTAAACAAAATAATGTATAAATTCAGTATTATGTGTCAGATGAGGAATTAATCCAAAACACAATTTGTTAAGATAACAGAAACTGGGTTCCAAAATAAAGAACGAGAGGTCCTTAGTGCTCTCTGAGTTTGCTTGTATTTTTGCAAACATTTCATTACCCTAACTAAATAACATCATCAATGCTAGTAAGGAGTGCTGTTTGTCTGTGTGGTCTTAAGAGATTGTTTTTTGGAGACAACAGATTTCTTGCTTTTTCACACAATTTAAAATAAATAGTTTGTTCAGTCACATATTCAAACAAATTTTCTTTCTGGAGTTAGAATTACTTATCTGGCTACCACTGACCTAGTAGAACAGCTGGTGGTCCACAGCAAATTTTACTTTACTGCAATTCAACCAGTGTGGGATTTTAGTCAGTCCCACTAAAACAAGACTGATAGCTTATTACTTCTGTTTCAATCACATACTGATTCAGTGTCTGGGATCTGACTAATGAATTCAATCTTTCTGTTGCCAGCTATTCCCCCATTTACAGATTTGGTCTGGTTCCCTCAGTTTTCATTCCTGCCGATCAGGGGTGGGTTGCTGCCTGCATGCGCAGAACATTATAAAATGCCTAAAAACATGCTGGCAACGGCATGGGTGACCAGGGAACCAGTTTGGGGGCTGGGCTAGCCTGCTGTCCCTACCGGTTCGGCGATCCAGTCCCAATTTCCACGGAGGTGGCGCAGTGGTTAAATGCAGCACTGCAGGCTACTTCAGCTGACTGCAGTTCTGCAGTTCGGCTGTTCAAATCTCACCGGCTCAGGGTTGACTCAGCCTTCCATCCTTCCAAGGTGGGTAAAATGAGGACCCGGATTGTTGTTGGGGGCAATATGCTGACTCTGTAAACCGCTTAGAGAGGGCTGAAAGCCCTATGAAGCGGTATATAAGTCTAACTGCTATTGCTATTGAACCGGTGCAAACCAGTAGCAATCCATCTCTGCTGTCGATAGAGTGCTGGCTCCTTTATACCAATTTCCTCCAACATTCTGTTGGGTTGGACACTATAATATTGAGAAGTTAAGGAAAGTAGCCAGAACATCGCTTGTGGGATTCTTACCAATAGCTTCACAATAGCTCCACTCTGGATCATGGAACCAGGAAAAGGAGGAGGACTTAGAATGGAATAGTCATTAACTTTCCAAGCAACTGCCTAAATGCCTTTCCTATAGGGGTGCACTAGGGACATTTCTTTTTCCTTGCTGCTCCCAAGGACATATGGCCCATTTTTAAAAACTGATTTTTCTTCCAGCAATTTCTCCCCCAACATCAACTTTGGTCCTTTTTAAATTCAGTTTTTGGAGAGTTATTCTGCTGGTAGATGGCATGATGCCAAGACTGTATATGATTCTGGTTTCCACATTTTGTAATCTAAGGGATTGTTGGAATTCATCACTGGGTGTGCGTGCAGGGCGGCTTCGGCTGCCTGGAACACGTACACAGGGATGGAGAGACATCGCGCCGTGGAACGCATCAGGAATTTTGCAACCCAGCGGTCGGGACTTACTACACAAGCGCATGTAACATGAGCTATGTGAGCAGGCTATGCCCATACCTGCCCTTTCTCCTCCCTCCCCCCACCTTATGCCATGCTGTAATTTTTTATTTGTTTACTTGTAACATGTGACTATATACGCCTTTTCGATGACGCTGTAAGTAACTTTCTTAATAAAAGAGGTCCCCGAAGTACATTTGAGGCCCTCATCCTGAGGAAACCGCGTCCGGCGTGTTCCTTATCCATTCGGTCCAAGAGTCATGAGCGGCCCGCCAGAAGCGGAGCGCCACAAGGGACTGTTTTGGACAAAACTCAACAGCACTTTTTCGTGTGGCTGTTGATAAAAATAGGATCCCTGATGACTGATATGGCAGAAGAAGAAGTATTCTAGGTGGCTGGAAAGAAAAAATAGACCAAAGTTTGTTTGTTTATTGGATTTATATGCCACCCTTCTCTTAAAGGACTCAGGGCGGCAAACAACATTAAAAAAAACACATATTACAAAAGTTAAAAAGGAAATTAAATACAGTATCCAAAAACAAACACAATTAATATTAACAATACAATTTTAAAATTGCTTGACTGTCTATGTACTACAGAAGTCTTGGTAATATAGAAATAGCCTGCTATTGATTTCTAGAGGGTTTTTTTTTTTAAAGCT